CACAAGTGTGCAGCACCATCCTGGCTTTATGTAGGTTCTGCGGGCTGAACTCAGGCCCTCCTGCTAAGCACTTTGGTGACTTAGCCATCTCGCCCCATCTCTAACATATTTACTGTGTAGAACACAAGCTCCTTGAGGGAGAGAATCTCACCTGCTTTCCTGTAACTCAACCCAGTACTTGGCAAACCAGGGGCAAGAGATCCATAAAGTAATTAGATCTGCAGTGAGGCCACAGCATGAAGCTGGCTCTTGTTGCTGGACACACCACTTAAAAGGACCAGCTCTGTTGAACTTCCTGTTCAACTGGCTTCCCCTAGCAGAGATGGGAGTAGTACTCTCTCTCCTTTGCCTGCTATGCAGTGCTGTCCAATAAAGTTGCTCCCTAAGCAGTGGACAGACTATGGACATCCAACCTGAGTTCTCCCCTTATCAATTCAAAAATCCCTCTGGAGGTGACCCTTGAAGCTTTTGTTCTTAGTCACTAAAGAGACACCATGACCAAGGAAACTCATATAAAGGAAAGCATTTAAGTGGGAGCTTTATTACAGTAGTAGAGGGTTAATTCATGATCATCATAGTGGAAAGCAAATACACATGGTGCTGGAGCAGTAGGTGAACTTAACATCCTGATCCACTGAGCCTGGCATGAGCTTTCGAAACCTCTGAGCCCACCCCACCCAAGTGACACAGTACACCCAACAAGGTTCCCGAACAGTTCCACCTCTTGATGACCATTAAAATGTAAGCCTGTGAGGCCATTCTCGTTGAAACAACCACATTCTGGCCAGAGTCATGCAAATGACCTGGTCTCTGTCCAGGGCCATTTTGAAACATTTACAGAAAGAAGAATGCTTCCGTCGCCTCTTCTGCAACTAAAGCTCAAATTTACCTACACAGAACCTCAGCTCAGAGACTCTGGGAGCTTTCTGCTCTGCTGGCAAGGGCAGCAGCAGTGGGAACAGTGCGGGTTATGTCTGTGTGTACTCTCTCTTGGAATTCTAGGTCATTAGGAGGTAGCAAGCTTTGCAGGACTTACCCAAGGTCTCACAAGAGGATAATGAGGATATGTGCTATGATAACGTATAACCCCTTGATGCAAAATGTGGGTTGCAGCATAGGTTGGCAGTCAGGAAGAAAACATACTCTGCTCCATGTTGGAGTGAGCAGAACTGAGCGGGTTCTGTCTCTACAGCAGCGGTTCTCAACCTTCCTAATGCTGCAACCCTTTAATACAGTTCCTGTGTATTAAAATTATTTTCATTGCTACTGTAATTTTGCTGTTGTTATAATTGCAATGTAAGTATTTTTGGAGATAGAAGTTTGTCAAAGGGGTTAGGACCCACAGGTCAGGAACCACTGCTCTACACCACCCTCTCCGCTGAGGTAAGAATCAGTAGTTCTTTACTGAGGGTGTAGGCAGTAAAATAAAGACCTGAGAATGTTTCCTTGCCAACGAGGACTATTGCTAGGGCAATAGTAGGTCTGGATAACAATGGTATCCAGTTGTTACCCCACAGACAGGGTCTCCAGAGCCCACCCAGGGCTCACAAGAGTCATGTCATTGGGTGACACATAGCCAATGCAAACATAAGCCTGCTTTAGCTAAAAGCCTCACTGCACATGCCTGCCCTGAAAATACATTTAATGCAGGTAATTTCTTTTCCATTTATTATCAAGAATTCATTTCACTTACCAAATTCTAAACCAATAAATCTTAACATTAAGTCTGATTTGATGTGTGATGCAGACAGTCTAATTAAGGCCATGGTATTTTATCAGCTGCTCTAAGCTGTCTTTTCTCTGGTCTGTAATTTTTTTAGGCTGGTGTTGATCATCTTTTTATTCATAAGGGCTTCATTCCCATTTGTCATGGTTGCATTAACTGGGCATCTAATGAAGGCTTGGATAGAGAAGTCTGTATCTCATTTATCCTTGGGAGCAAAATTAATAAAGCAAGGGAAAAATTGCTTCCTGTTCCAAAATGTTTTTAGCCCACCTTGACTCATCTAAAATATATTTCACTGTGTCTTCTAGAATCAGCTCAGCTTCAGGACACAGTGACTAACTTTATCCTTCACTTACTGACAACCCCATCCCTAGGCCCCTGCCCACTCCACAGCTGGAGATGCTTGGATAAGAGTGGCCAGCAGACTGTTTCCCCACCCATTTGCTTAATTCGTGTTTACTGAGTACCTTCTGGAGCTGAGGTTCAGATATAAAATAGGTTCAAAGAGATGAGGGAATGGCTCATTGGTGAAGCCTTGAAAACATGAAGACCCAAATTCAACCCCCAGATGTGTGTAGACATGCTGAGCATGGTGGCACACGCTTGCAATAAGCAACAGAGACAGAGGATTCCTGGGAGTTGCTGGCCAGGTAGTCTAGACTAATTGGTCAATTACAGGACAATGAGAGATGCTGTCTCGGGTAGGTAGACAAGGTTCCTGAGCATGATCACACACACACACACACACAAGCACATGGTACATATGTCTATAAAAATTTTAAAAGAAGATTCAAAGCCCAAGTTAAATAGGTTGGCCAAAGTCCAGTGGAAGAAAGTCTTAGCCCTAGAACAATACTGGGAGCAAGCTGGAAGGCTCATCTGCTCTCTTTTTGCCTCTGGGAGGGTGATCATTCCAACTTGTACTTCTGTTAACAAAAAGTCACCAAGTGTCTGTGATCCTGCTTGACTTGTGGGCTTTCTGGATTCATGAAGGTGCTCACTCCCCAGGGATGCCATAATAAGGAATCACTAAGTGAGTGGTTTGTCCACAAGTCTGAAAGCTAGAAGCCCCAAATCAAAGTTTTGGCAGAACTGTTTCCTTCTGAGGACTGTAAGGAAGAGACATGTTCTATGCTTCTCTCCTTAGAGAAGCATATGTTTACAGCCAGAGCCTGTCTTTCCCCTGTATATCTCTCCTTATATAAGGATGTCAATTACATAAGGTTAATGCCCACCCTAGTGTCTTCATTTTAACTTGATTGCCATCTATAAAGGCCCTGTCAGCAAGCATGCACACATTCTAAGGCACTGAGGGGTTAGGATCCTCAAGTGTGAATGTGGGGAGATAAAAGTTGAGCTTATAACAGTGACTCTCTCTGAAGTAGGTTTAACTACAGCTAGGTAGCCTCCAGCAGCCATGCTAGGGATGCTGGGAATACCAGAATTCCTTGTCAAAGGGAGGTTTACATTGTAAAGTAGACACCTCTCCCCTCTGAACCACATATGTCTAAAGTAAGAGGTGAGACTGGGTTTCCACCACCTCTGCACCGGAGTTCCAGGACTGTGCTCTAGGCAGAGTCGGGCAGTATAGAGGGAAGGGTAACAGTCTGGCTCCACTACTTTCAAGCGGGATGATCTGGCCTTTTTTTTTTTTTTTTTTTTTTTTAAGGTTTAGACAAGATTCTCTGTGTAGCCTGGCTGGCTTGGGACTCTCTGTAGAACTGACTAGCTGCACACTTGTGGCCTCTGCCTCCAGAGCTCAGGAGCTACAGTTGTGTGAGACTTTACCCAGCTCACACACCGCATTGTTTTCTGAGCTTTGCATTTTTAACTGCAACCAGAAGTTAGTAATATTAGCTACTACAAACAAGAAAAACCAAGAGATGTGGTGATTAAGGGGGTGTCACTGGTCACACAGTTGTCGGCTCCTACACATGAACCCCCAATGCCGTTAATACTATGAACAAGAGTCAAGTTTATATCTGGTCTCAAGTCTCAGTGGTGTCTACCCCCGAGCCCCAGGCCCTGGCACCCACTAGAGCCCTATGCTGCAGCTTAGAGTGAGATGCTTGAGCTGACAAGACTTTGGCATCCTTGTGACGCTCCTTCCCTGTCTCCACCTTACCTACGTTCTGTCCTGTTCTACGTGACTTTTTCTTCTTAGCGTCAGGGCTAGAGCTTCAGTTGTTTTGTTTTTTTTCTTCTCATTGTACTTTATAACTTTACATAAAATATATAGCTTTATGTAGAAATATCTAATAATAAAACCAGTGTAACTATTCCACTTGGCACAGGTTTATAATGTAGATTCAGCTTCTCCCATGGATATGAGACTAATGTCTACAGCAATCTCTTAGCACTGTTGTTTTCTCGTGTGCGTCATCTGGATCATAGTCAACCTGAGGAGACAAACAGATTTTCTTATTCAAATTGACTCTCATAATGCACCAACTTCTCTTACATAAAGTAAACCATGTAATCCTCCTCACACCTTGATCAGCTTGAAGACGGTATCCCCATATCAAAGGCTCCCCAGAGACTCAGAAATCCCATGGATGACCAGGATTCAAAAGTATGCAGCTGATTCCAAGGGCACCCACATTTGATATTTAACACTCTCCTTACTACTCTCTAACAACTCAGCAGGCTTACACAACCTCCTTCCAGCCCTCACCCCCTGTGTGTGTGCACATGTGTGCGCGCGTGCAGACACACACACACACACACACACACACACACACACACACACACACACTTTAGGCCCTCCATTGTGCAGTTTTCTGTGGCCTTGGTGCCCCCTAGTGGCTCATTAGGGTTCACTGCTCTGAAGGCTTGTGACTAAGCACTTGAGTTGTCCACAGGCCAGTGTGGGTGGCCCTGAGATAACATATCTCTCGGCACCCAGAGCTAGACCTACCATTAAAGATCACTCTGTCTCTGACTCTAACTCTGTCTCTGTCTTCTCTCTCGTCCTTCCTTTATTTATTTTATTTTTTTATTATTTTTGACAGGGTCTTTCTGTGTAGCTCAGGCTGTCTTCAAACTTACTAGTAGTCCAGGTAGGCTCAGATTCATTGAAATCCTAAGTGCTGGGATTAGGTGGTGCACCACTATGGCCCACCAATACTGTACCTAAGTGAGTCCCTCAGGAAGACTGTGCAGGAGTCAAGGCAGAGGAAACAGCACTAAGATAGTATGTAAGATCTGGGGTGCTGACCCGGTACTTCCTTCCCACTCCCAGGTGGGATACATGGGCTTTGACATTCTCTGTTGTGTCTACTGGTGACTCTCATTTCTCGGAGCTTGTTTGCAGAGAGGGAAGAAACAAAAGAAACAAGTTAAAGACTTGATGGTCTTTATATAAATCTCATTCCGCAAAGGATACCGTCTAAACTCTCCTCTAGAAAGGAGATCATGGGAGTGGGGGGACTAGGCTTAAAGGAAGGGCTATGGGGGGGATGACAGAAATAAGTGACTTAAGAGTAGACATTGGAATGTTGAGAGTAGAAGGCACAGAGGGTAGGAGCAAAGAGATGGGGGAGAGAAGTTGGGAAGGAAGATCAACCAAAGCAAAGTATTATGACAACCCCACAAAGAACCCCGTTGCCCTTTGTACAGATGTTACCAATAAAACATGTCCCCAGGAAGTGCTTAGCCTGTTGTGTTTTATAAAAAGATAGAGAGAGAAGGAATATGTCAGGTGTGGGAAAAGGAGGGCCCATGCTGAGGCATCCCTTCCTCCTGAGGGACCGACTGGGCATTGGGAGGGGAGCTGAGAGGGTAGTAGAGAAAGAGAAAGGCAGAGGGGGGGGTAGAGGTTGACCATGAGCATGTGGAGAAGGGGGGGGATAAAGAGAGAGGGAGAAAGGGTGAGAGGACAGAGCAAAAGCAAGAAGGCAAGAGAGCAAAAGAGAGAGGATGGGGCAAGCAGCCCCATTTATAGTGTGTCAGGTATACCTGGCTATTGCCAAGTAACTGTGGGGCAGAGTTTAGATAAAATGCTAACACAGCCAGCTTCTGTTTCTCCATGGTCCTCACATGCAGAAATGGAGAAGGCATTGTATCCATTTCTGCTAAGTAAACACAAGGAAAACTCCAATCCGTGGAGGCTGTTGCTCCAATATGGGTGCTTGGGATTTACCTCCATCATTCCAGAACCGGCTTACAGCATTCAAAGCTGAAAATAGTCATCAAGTACTCTGACTGCTAAAGAAAGCAGAAAGCAATGCAAAGTTAGGCATCCCTTATAAGCACCGCCCTAGTTCCCAGCACCTAGCTGCTTCCAGAGCTTTCCTTCCCCTCCACTCCACCCAGCTGTGCAGGACAAAAGAAAGCAAGACAGACAGACGGACAGAGGGAGAGAAGGAGAGAGAGAGAGAGAGAGAGAGAGAGAGAGAGAGAGAGAGAGAGAGGAGGAGGGGGAGGGGGAGGGGGAGAGGGGAGAGGGGAGTAGGGGAGTAGGGGAGTAGGGGAGTAGGGGAGTAGGGGAG